CATTCCACATTATATCGACATTATATTATAAAAAATTGCTTTCTTTCCCTTTTTATTAAAATGTTCAAGGCTCTAAAGCTGCAATTCTCAACTGTCCAAATTTCCGTTTTCATTGCTCATTAAAGAAACTTTAGACTTTGGACGTTGAATCAAAGTCGAGCAAGATACAATGTCGTATATCAGGTATATCGTCGCATATCCAAGTTCCTACTTGTATCACGGGACTGACATGATGTACGCGCAATAATTTCCGCTCTATAAACTCTAAACAGAACCAAGAGTGAAGAATACAAGAAGAACACTTAAAAAGGTCCTCTAGTAAAGACCAGTAAAGAAACTGTAAAGAGTCTGGAAAGTTGGATCAATGTCAAGAAACGTGTGTRGATCGCTTCGGCAAAGAATGAAAAATTTCMTAAGTTCTTCATCGTTTAAAGGATTTGCATCGATGTTTGGACTGTGTGCAGATCGKCCTCACAGATYWCATGCGCTCTTTTCTTTGATATTYGTWTTTCCAGACGTTTACAACCTCRGTCGGGCTGCGGCMCATGAATTTGTTTGTCCAAGATGTAAAACGATTTGGATAGCTTCTTTTGCCACGRTAATGGAACTCTGCGGAGCAAGTCTTATTCAAATGTTCGTGGTTTCCAGTTTCGCATGATGAAAGTTTTACTTGGTTTCGCACTGAACCTTCTTGTGGAGAGTCTGGATGCCTTCTAAAAAGACTACGATATTAGTCAAAGCCAGTCTTCCTGCTTGTAGAACCTGAACAATTGTCTGGAAACGTGTCAGGGTCGAGCTTCACAATGCAGTCACGACTTCGTAATGTGTGACTTTAGGAAATTTAATCTGTCCTTGATGATTTATGTAATAAGTTTAAATTCTTGTACATAGCTGTTGTTTTATTGTTAACAGTAACTTGATTTATCATTCACTGGTCATAGTATGCAGTTTTTGGTTTGCATTGTATGTACTTGTAACAAATCACAGTGATGTTCTTTATTCTTCTATGTTCGGGAGGTTAACTAATGTCTTTCGCCACACTTCTCAGAGACCGAATCTCGACAGTTCAATCTCGACAGTTCAAACCAGCCCCAAAATCCCTCTCTCTCAAGCACGACCATGCCTTTTATCCCGAAACCTAGCCTCTCCCACGGGACAATCACACACAAAAACGTTCACGAGAATACAAGACAAACACATATCAAATCGCCCAGTCTACATACTTATTTCAAAAAAAATGTTGTCGGATCAAATGGCGAATGCCGACAATAATCCAATTTCGAGTTCTGGTTTGCTCTGTGTTAGCCTCAAAACCAAGCAACGTATTCTTTTCTTTTATTGATAGCCCGAGAAAACGCATAGAATTTGTAAAGAAAAACAATAGAATTGATTTGAAATCTCACACTCTTATTCTCACAATTAGGAATATTTTGCGCACGAATGAGGCTAACACAGAGCATTGGAGAATTCGAAACTGGATTATTGTCGAACGGCGATCGCACTACCGAAAGTACCCATGGGTTTTGAGAAATAATATTTTAATGCATATTGAAGCAGATTTTTGTAAGCAAAACATTTCATTGTTATGGTATATTTTCATTTGGGTCAGCATTCTTTGCAAATAGGTGTATTCACTCAGAACGATTTCGAAAATTACTGGATACAGTTAGACGAGTTTTTTTTTATTCCTCCTGAGTTCCATTGAAATTCACTAATTTCGTACAAAATWAAAACCCTGGAAATCATTCTTATTATTATTGTTACTGTTGAATTATTTTTTAGATTTCCTTTTCTTCTTAGCAGCGGGATCCTTTCCTTCCAGAATGTCCTTCTTTCTTTTATTCTTTTTTCTCTTTTCCAAAATGTCACTGTCTCTTACATTTAGCTCTGCTTCTCTCCTGGCCACCAAGACACCCTTTAGTAACGTTAGAACTTCTTTCTCATCAGAATCCAGCATAGTTAATTTAGTGTTAATAGTTGCTTCAATCTTCTTGACACGTTCAACATCGTACTGCGTAACTAAAGTAACAGCCATGCCACCTTTCCCTGCTCTGGCAGTTCTACCTACCCTATGAATGTAATCTTTGGGAGAAGCAGGAACATTACTGTTTACTACAAGTTCAACTTCAGGTATATCAAGTCCACGGCTGGCAACATCAGTTGCCACAAGAATCTTTACTCTACCTGACTTGAATTTTGATAAAGCTGCTAGTCTTTCCCTTTGTGACATGAGCGAATGTAAAGCAACGCATGGAAGTTCTACTTTGTGCAGCATTGAAGCTAGAACTTGACAGTTTTTGCAGGTATGAGTAAAGACAATGGTTGATTTGTTGCTATCTTGTTCTCTCAGCAAGTAAACTAAATAGCAGTCCCTCACATTTGCTGGTACAAGTAGGTATCGTTGGTCCAGCTGTGCGACTGTTGCAATTCTGCAAAAAAAAGAGAAAAAAAGAATCATCAATCAGTCAAAAAATTTTAAAAAATAGACCTTCATAACTGATGATAGCAATTTTTGGGACTAGCCTAAACAAACAAAGCATTGTTTGCAAATAGTACATGCCATACATCTACATGTATAAGAGAAATAATTGGCAATGGTTCTCTGACGGAAGAGCCTACGTAGCACTCAGTTGATGTAATATATTCATAAAGATATAATACAAACACATAAATACAATAGAACGAGAAACAATGGAATACAATACATTTTATGAATACATTACATCAACTTCATGCTACGTAGGTCTCCCCGTTCTCTTACAAGATCAATAGAATTTTATCAAACCTTAGGTCACAGTCTCCCTCAGTCACATTCAATACAGGATGCCCAGGAATGGATAGAAGAATGGAAAGAAGAATGGAAAGGAATATTGGGTGCCTGTGGAGAAGGCTACAATCTTATGCAAAATAAACGGAACACCCTCTTCCCCACTGCAAGGTTGCACACATGTTACTTTCCTCATCCTTGTTGATTTTGTAGCAATTCATTGACGAACAATATTGTAAAAGGGGAGGGRAGTTTGTAGTAACACAATCATAGGCAGTGTTTCACACAATTTTGMAAAAGATTGTAGTTCTATCCCTTACTTACTCTGATTTAATTTCATAACAGAAAGGTTCAGCTGTAGATACTTTCTTTAACTCTTCCATTGTGTCCGTCAGAGTTGCACTAAACAAAAGGGTTTGCCTCTTCTTAGGAACAGCATCAAATATAACCCCAAGGTCATCGCCAAATGAWGGGTCTAATAGTCTATCTGCTTCATCAAGTACCAAGAACTGGATTTTATTCACAATCAGCGTATCYGTGCTTTTAAGGTGGTCAGCAAGTCTTCCAGGAGTTGCTATGACAACATGTGGTTTATCTGCAAGTGCTATGGCTTGTTTCATCATATCCATGCCACCAATCACAACACATGATTTMAATCCAATTGGTTGTCCAAGGACTTTGAACTGGTCAGCGATTTGCARTGCAAGTTCACTGTTAATTAAAACCCAAATACAATTAGATTAGTTTATTTTCTACTTGCAAAACAACAATATTAAGCTTAAAAACGTGTAAATATTAAATTTAAAGCTTAAAAGAACTTATAAGCTTATATACACGTGGTTACATATTCATATAATTATTTGTTTATATTTTAGATTTATATGGTTAATTCAATCTTGTGGCAAAGTCAAACGAATAAGAAGTATACCCTCTTCACATTCCATGAAAACCTACCGCGTAGGAGTCAAAACMACAGCRAAGATGCCATAAGGATCCTGACAAAGTTTCTGTAGTATSGGYAGAGCGAAGGCCGCTGTCTTTCCACTGCCAGTTTTCGCACAACCAATGCAATCTCGGCCATCTAGAATCGGTGGGATGCAGTTTATTTGTATTTCTGTGGGCTGTTTGATTCCCATGGCTTTACATTGCTTCACTAACCAACTGTTTATRCCTAAACTCGAGAAACTACCACACACACTTTGTTCATCGTCCGCCATTTTGTTGCGAAATGCAATCGCAAAGCATCTCGGTACTGTCGACGCACAGTAACTCGTGGATGGAATGTTTTTCACTGYACGCTGATTRGCGCTGATTAAGATTTCATATAATACAACTCTGCGTTTTCTATATTTTCCAGCGATAGTTTTACTAGACACTTCAATGCTCATTAAGACTTGTGATCACTTGTGTAGTCAATGTTTTGGAAAAGATATGGAAAACACAAAGAACGCGATGGGAGCTGCTGCTTCTAAGGTGTGCTGATATATGATCATTTCAAGAGATTTTCAATTTACTTTACCAGTTCAAAAGACGGGGAACGAAAGCGACTGGAAGGAGGTGAATCAAAAGGTCTTCAATGGCCTATTTTCGCTAATGAATTTAGCAGAAATGTAACCCACTTACGCGCACGTGAAAGGTCGAGAACTGATAAAGAGGGGAAGGGAGCAGAACAACTTTGCGCTCCAATCCTTATTTTMGTTTAAAGTCTCCGCTTTCTCACAATCTGACTACTGAAGTAGAGGTAGRGAAAGCAAGCGAAAATGKGAAAGGGTTAAGAGACGGAGCATCATTGATAAATCAAGTATTTATTGGTTCAATAAATGGATGTGAACGTTGCAAAAATAAACAACAACAACATGAAGGATACAGCAACCGGAAGGTTAAATGTTAAGACTTTAAACGTTTATAGGTTTATATTGTTATTTGTAACAGGTTATGTATCATGCATATTAGCATAATTAGCGTTGTTTGAACATCCTTAACAATTTKTGATGGAGTGATTGATCACAATCAATCTTTAAGCTCCATTATATAAATTTTGATAAATATAGAATAGGGTGATTATATTCCCMACAAAGCATTCCAACATCTCACAACTACGATAACATTACAAGTGCAAAAGTGAATRATATAAAAACACCTTTAGACAATCCCCCAAGCTAGAAACATGCCGTGCCATTATATATCTTTTCCTTTAAACTATTCATAAATAAATACTATGTCATCAAATAGTTGCAATTTTAAACATTTTTAGACTTTTATAATTACATTATTTCCCAAATCAGTCAAATATCGATCTTGATGCTCGACTGACACTATTGGACCGATCTCGTTCCATCAATTGGTCGGACATCGGTTGTGCAAGCATCGGTGTGCTTCTAGAGATACGAGACGATGGTGAKAGCTTTGCATGTTGWGCCAAGTTGTCCCGTGAGGACGAACGCTGKAGTCTAGTACCAGACGCACCCATTTTTTCCATCAATCTTTGACCGCGACTGCTGAGTGTGCGTTTDAGGCGAGAGAAGGTTTTCTCCCGTTTTCCATTTTTTCTGTCATCGTCTTTGTCTTCATTAAGGCTCTTGGTGCTCACGTTCCCACTGCTGTTCAGTGAGGAATTKGAGGCGGATAGACTGCTTGGGTAGGAGCCGGCATCCTCTGCAAGAAGCTGTGCAACTTTGGTCTGCCGTACTGCGTCAAAAGCCTAAAATGACGCACGATATGTTAGAGGGAAGGCCAATACATGTTTGGCCAATAATAAAAACATCCCCACACAATAAGGCTATATCCACCGAGTGGTTCAGCTCGTGTACTGCACCGCTGGACTGAACAGGCCTTTTACATTTCTTAGCTTATCCCACATGAACAGTTTTCTTCCTCTTAGTAAGATTTACCACTGCAAATCAACAAGTTGAAGATTTYACATACATATATTGTTCTAAGCAGTGCATATTTTTTAAGCATTTATGCTACGTTTTATCTTTAAGACTTTTATCAACATTTTAAAGTTTAATCCAGTTGCTGTGACCTTTTGGAATCGAAGTAAATTTTYAAGAATGTACGAGTGCATGTACGAGACGATGTGAAAATTTATATAAACAAAAATAAATACGTTACGTGTTGAATTAGACAATAATACCACACAACACACACACMCACATWAACACCACMACAAACAAACAAAAACTGAGTACCTAAAACCGACGYGCGCGTACATTTCGCGCCAAAATATTTTCCCGCTTGAGAAACGCGCACATGCAATGAATCTTATAAAGGAGACGAAATGACAGAGCAATGATATTTAGTCACACAACTCACAAAGATAACTAACAACTAKTACCAATTGAGGTTAGATTCAATAAATAAATAAATACTATGCTGACGTAGTTACCCTAATCTTAGACCGCCCGACATTACAATTATATTAGTATCATCTAAAATTTCACTCTGACGAGAAGATTAAAAGTACTTTGTGCATAGTTTTTTAGCGTCAATTGACGGATATAAGCATGCATAGTAGGAGCGGAATGATTGTCTTCAATAGAGCATGCATMGTTAAATTACAGAATGTATCGTATACGTCTTTCTAAACTRAYATCTTGTCATCAGTATAAGGTTAATTACTTTGATTGTTATGATTATTGAACATTTGAAATTCGTAAAACTATCCTAAATCTGATCTAATCGACTTCAAACTGGTAAGAATTCATGGAGAATGTCTTAACGCAGCCCGACTAAGCGTTGAATTTGAAATGAGAACTCTATCTTTTAAGTTAACCATCGGTCACACTCGTATTGGACAACGTGTTAATAACATTTACATTTACACTTTGACGAGATCGAAGTGCACAATCCTCCAGTGTTTCAGCAGCCTCAAATTTCCCTTGTCTACGGTAAAGRGCTCCTAGGTTTCTTAGCGTTGTTGTCACTGTGGGACTATCGACTTTAGCTGCTTTATGCCAGCCACCGTACTCTCCGTAAGGGGCGTTGTCTTTTCCACGTTTTCCGTCGTCGTCGAGCTCTCCAGAAGTCCCAAACTCACGCTCATGCGCTCTTGTTAGAACCTATATTCGCAATGTTATTAGTATCAACAAATGACGATATTAGAATACGACAAAGCCAGAGACTGAAAGGGAGAATGTGGACTTAATAGCACGAGTGATGGCTTTTGTGATACAATGATACACAGTATACACACCTGTTTGTAGAGCGTTTCGGCAGCTTTGTACTTGCCTTGTTTTAAGTATGCTGAAGCCTGGGAGTCATAAATAACATGGTTAACCTCACCAAATAACAAGCAATAAAACAACTGCAACAACAACATCAACAACCACAACATCATCAACAACAACAACAACAACAACAACAACAACAACAACATCACCAACAACAACAAGACTATGACTCGAAAGATCAAAAAACAATAAAAGAAAAAAGATGAACAAAGAAACCAAGCGGAACGAGCGTGTTTCTTCCATTTCTCTTTTTCTCAAAATCCGTTCTTCCGTTTTAAGCATTCTCATTAAAAAAAGGAGAATATCTTACCAGATTATTTTTAGTTTTGGCGACATTAGGATCATCAGGGCCCAGCTTTGTAGTGTAGATCTCAAGCGCACGCTGGTAATATTGCTCAACCTAGAACAAAACGTTGCCTGTTATTAAAATCACTTAGGACCTCTTTAATATCTTAACTAACAAAGTTTCTTCAACATTTTCAATAGCATTTTCATGTTAACCAACAGAATCTGAGCAAGCTCAGTTTTGGAAAAAAAGTTTTTCCTTCTCTGTAATGCTGCTGCAAAGTACCCTACGAAATGAGTCTCTCTTCTTAAGAGACTGGGTACCACGCAATGCATAACTAAGGTTGTTATACCTCGTCATATTTGCCTTGGTTTTGACAGAGTAAAGCTAAGTTGTTGAGTTGTTTAGCCACGTCTGGATGGTCTTTTCCAAGTACTTTTTCTCGAATTTCAAGAGCTCTCTTGCACAGTGGCTCAGCGTCCTTGTATTTGCCACGTTTGCCATACAATACTGCGAGGTTGTTTAAGGTGGCGGCAACCTATGGGAAGAGTCAATGTAAAATAGTTAAGCTAAAATTATTCCTTATAAGGACAACACATAAAGACAGACAGACAGACAAAAGAAAGACAATAAARATGGTCAGACAGACAGACAAACACAAAAGGCATCTTTGACTTCCTCTTCAGCTCTTATGGCTTTTTAATTTTTCAGTACTGCGCACAGGATATGCCGAGACGCGTTTCACAGTTTGAGSAGAAAGCACGTCGTTGCTTTCTCCGATGAAACCGCTTGCATTGTAAGRCTGGGAAAACATGATTAAGCGCCAAAACTACGCCTTATAGTTGAACGAACAACTGAGAATCAGTAATCCATCATCAGAGCTGGTTTTATCTTTTCAGTCTCTTATTTTGACATTCTTATCGCGTGACCTTTTAGGTCACGAAAGGGAGAGATTTGTTTATATATCACAGTGAAGGATTTTCATAACAGATTATCGCATCAGATCTATGCGAAGAACAGGCACCGCGAAGGGTTATCTGTAGACGCAAGAATAGTCCTCAACGAAACTTAAACCATAAAACGACCGTAAATCATCTAAAACTACAAGTATTTTAAACGCAAGTTTATCTACAATCCTATACAACGACAATTTACTCAGTAAATGAAAACATTTGGTATGAAAACACGACAGAAAATGTTAAAGTGAAGGAAGTTGATCTCTTAACAACTTACAGATGTCATTGATGTTTCTTTTAACACTCGATATTCCGTGCAGAAAGAGGTAATGCTTGAAGGGCGRTACAAAGGAACTTGAGTTTTAAGAGTGATAAACGAGGTTTGCGGCTGTTAAAATTTCGACTTCACTTTTTCATGACTTCATACGATAAAATGCAGATTGGAAGAGCTCCTCCAAAACGCTTGTATTTTTAAAAAAATAGTTTACTTTCTATATAATAGCAATCTTATTTAATAGAATCCATATTRTTTCTTTTCAGAAATGAAGACAAAACCTACCGCTGGATGATCTTCACCAAGTGTCTTTTCTCTTATTGTGAGGGCATCATGGAGCAGATTAGCAGCCTCTTTGTACTTGTTCTGGTCTCTGCAATGAAGGTAAAAAGAACAAAAATCATTTAGAATTTATTAGCTTTGCTATTGTTTAATACAATATTAAGATTATATCGCTTAAGAAACTAAAAATATTGATAAGGGAGCAGTAGAACATTATTGCGACATGGATGAATTGAGCTTTTAATTAGTATCTTRACTATCACAAAGAAACAAAATACTRATCCATCAAATAAGATAAGACAACTTAGTTTTCTGCGCAAATATTGCAATAAAATGCATCAATAATCTTCAATTAATGCTTGACCCCGTTTAAAAAAACAACAGAATTGTTTAAGACGCTTGTTTACTCATATATTAAATTCAAGTTATTGCGGTACATAATCTTTTAACGATTAAAGACAGTATGCATAATATTTCAGAGCAATTATWTGATGGTAGCAAACATAAAATCAAACAAATGGCGAGAAAAACAACAAGTACTTTTAGGGTTTTTCAAAGCCTTGGACAAAAGGCTTTGTTTGTAGGAAGAAAGGCATAAAAACTATAAACACACAGATGTATGAAATTATACGTTCGCAATAAGTGAATTTTTATCGGATGCCTTTTCTGAATTGGAAGAAGTTTTCACAGAATGAAGACAAATTGAATGTTTCTTAGAATTTTTCTTCAATGAATTAATCGAGCCTGCGTAAAATGGATAAAAAATACTTCAAATATTTCTTGTTTATAGGCTGAAACTATAAACATCGGCAAGGCTCGTTTTGACACGAGTGACCGTCAACATAATCGATTCAGTATAACGGATATTTAGGAATGCAGCAGAGCTGCTAAGGAGATCAGATCTTTTCTAAATGGCCTGACCAGAAAAAGATTTGACTCGAGCGAAAAATGATTTTCAAACCAATATTGTACAACTCAGAAGAGCGATGTTTACTTAGAAGTGATTCTTGATGTTATTATAACCAAGACCCTCAGTGAAATCTCATACTGTGACAGTTATGTTACAGAATCTTGTTAATTAGACCACACCTTCGATGACCCCCAACCACGTCTCTCAAGTTTCAATTCCCTTGGGAATTAGACATCGGCTTTTTTTAAAAATTAAYGTTCACATTTTAATTCAATATTTTTAAAATATAACTGTATTCTAACTACAAACTGATAGAGTTTTAGAGCCTCTGTATTACAATTCGAGAGAACGAAGTCAATCGTCTTTCGTCGTTAGCTCATTGTTGAAGCAAGCATAATTCCGGACACGCGCATTAACATTTTCGCGCTCTTTTCTGTGTTTCTTTCTATTACATTTTCATTGCCTTTTCTCCGCAAGAAAATCCATTTTCATTATATATTCATGTCAACGTATTATCAAAATATCTAAAGTTACAGACGTTCTATATAAGCTATTTCTAAAGTACAACTATATTTAATAACATAAATTTACAAAATCTACAAAGTCGTTTCTTTCCGTAGTAAAAGTTTCTCCATATCTTTTAGGAATGCTTTGTAATTATTTAATCTAACGGGCGTTTGATCATGGGACCAAGAACGTAGGTGTAAATGGAAAGACCTGAGTAAAAATAGAAAGAGAACTGCTTTATGAATGGAGTTGAAATTTGAAATTTCTTCMCACTTTGTGAGATTCATTCATCCCTTCAGTCATTTCATCCAACATTACGTCATCTGATTAGAGAACATTTATCCATCAATTCAGACAATCATATCACGACTTTAACTTTATCATTATCCATGAATTGTTATATATATTACCATTATCAACATACTATATATTGTTCCTAATGTTCTTCCATCATTAATTGATTATATTTTCTCCATCTACCATTCATGAGCTCAGTTTCATTCATTTGAATGCAACGCGTCGTTTCTTAATTTTGAAGTCCACTCATAAATTTAACTGATCATTTTTTCAGTAATTCATTCATCCACTCATTCTTTTCGTTCGTTCATCGCCCAAATCCATCTCTTAGTCCAAGCTCAACATTTATCTCCACTGCCTTTTTCTCATCCAAGTGTACACCTTCTATACCTAGTGATTTTACTTCCCACATCTACTAACAATGTACTAAATGTTTTATCTATGATGACAACAACTTGACGTGGTGCATATTACATTACAGTTAGATGCATTGTGGATGAATTCACAAACGCCACACAAACACTACATACGACACAATCATGTGAGCTAAAAAGAGTTTAGAGGTCAACCTTATCTATGTCCTTCCATTCKACAGTGCATTTCTTACTCAAGTGTTTCCATTTACAAGAATTGTGCATATTCCCATACTTTTGTTTCTTTAGCTTTGATTTCATCTTCAATAATATAAAGAAATATCTAACTATAGTGTTCTTTTCYCTTTTAATTGCAATATAACTCTGTTTTTTTTTTCTCTTCTTGCTACAATACACCTATACCACACTCGCTTGACTGAACAAGATCAATGGCTTCAGTTCAAAGCTGGAGTTTTCAACAAAGGATAAGACCCCAGTCTYGACTTGRAGCCATTGTTTCATGTTTAATCTTAGCGAGTATGGGATAGGTCTATTTCATTTGTGTTATTAACTTTGCTCTGAATTCATATTAACACTATAATTTTTATAGTAAATTAATTTATAAAGCAGCACAATCTTTTTTAAATTTCTCTGTTGTGATTGTCAATAATATTCTGTAAATCTTCACTCTTGATCCAACTTAATAAAGGACCATTTTCATGGTTCGGAACTGAGGTATTTTAGGTTCAAATTCTTGTTACTTTTCTTTCACTGAGAACCAATTAAATGGACAACTGTGCAATTCTTTGACACTCTTTAACATACTTTCCCATTGTTTCTTCGACAGCTTCCATCTTTTCAGTCAACTTATCATGTTGGTTACAAATGATTCCAGATATGACAGACAAATCTGTTTCTGAAACRGGCCCTTCAGATGTGACAGTCTCAAAAAACTCCTTCATGCCTTCGTCATCTTCCACGACATGCCGAATGGGATACATAAGAAAGTTTATAATATCTCCCAGAACAGATTTTGGGAGATTTACTGCAGGATGAACTATATTAAATCTGATGAAGAAATACCATTGCTGAGTAATAAAATATCAAGGGTTGCCTGACAGAATTCCTTTTGCTGTTTTGTGGTGGTACAACTCAATAAATGATGAAAGTATAAACACGTCAGCAGTGAATAAACTTTCATATTTTTCTGGTTCAGACTTTTACAATACAATAATTTATGTAGATGAATCTTCCACAGTACCATAATCAATGATTATTAATAATTATCTATATCTATCAGAGTGTTCTATTGGTGTATAATAGTGGCGTGCAATTAATTTTAAAGTGCAAAAGTTTAGATTTACATTACATTGGCAATCCTGTTATCAAATTTACATTATTGTTAGCATAAACATATTTTTATTTATTTAAATGTGAAGCTAATTCAAGTTAGACATTAAAGATATGACAGGCTGGCCAAATTGATATCACATAAGCTGTAAAATACCCTTAGAAAATGTGCAACAATAAAGAAAGGCTACCAGCCATNTGGCTAATTGAACAAGGCCAAAATTATCATGATAATGATTGGCACAATGATGTTAGTGTGTCTGCTTGTTGCTTTGCATAATTAAGTATGACTATTTTGAACAGAAAAGAAGCAGAAAGTCCAATCTTAATTGTAAACTTACCATCAACATCGCCTTCATCTTCATCTTGCGAAGCCACATCGCTACTGAGATCGTTTTCTATACCCTCATCCTGTTATTCAAAAGCAATGACAACAATGTTCTTCAATAACATGTTATCATTTTCAACATGTACATGCAACTTTGGTTGCCATGCAAATAATCCAATCTAACAGCAGCCTTCACCTCAAAAAATCTTATTAACTAGCCTATCACATTGATTGTGGCAAGGCATGACCTACTGTGATGTGATTGGTCGGTTTTAACCATTATGTAAAACACTTACATATAAGAATGTGAAATAAAATTTTCAAAAGAAAAAACATTTGATTCATGAACGTAACGATGCAAAACAATGTATGAATGATGTATGTTACTTACATGCTTGTCCTACTCAACAAAATAATCAGGAAACAGGAAACAGCAACATAAAATAATTAGTGCAAAGAAAAAAGAATTAAAACATGCAAACAAAATAAAACTATAAAACATTAATAAATTACATGCATCCTCAGTACGAAACAAAAAACATTTGCAAATGTATCTCTTATGATTGATTGATTCACATTACAATTTTGAAAGATCATTTTAATCAAGTGCAAACTTGATTTTACCCTGTGAGCAGAGTTTTATTTACAATACCCAAGGAGATYGTGAAATATTTCCTTCTCAATTTTCGGAGAAAAAGTAAATAACAATCTGCTAGAAGGGTAGCTTGAGTTTTGAATTATTTTATCATTCAAACCTTAATGGATCTATAAAATCATCCAATACCATATAATGATCAAAATAATCATTCAAAATGTTCAAGTATTAAGTAATTAAACTGTAAATCATAAATGGATAAAATGAAACGCAATACAGAATTATTACTTACATCATCATATTTCTTTATTGAGTTCATAAACTCCAGATGTTTCTTTTCTTCTTCTAGTTGGGCAACTTTTTGCTCACTTTCTTGGAGTTTTTGCTGCGTAACAGAGAGCTCTTCTCTTAACCATGCATTTTCTTGACATAATCTTCTAACCTGGGCTCTTAACTTTTGCTTTTCAGCTTCTACTGTACTAAGATGGCTGCACAATGACATTAAAACCTGGAAATGTGTAAAAAATGCAATCAAAGCGATTTCCACTTCATATTAGCATCAAAGGGACGTAAAAGAACCCATAATACTATTCGACTAAGAGTGGGGGCATGAAGTTTCCAGTGGTGTAGTCAGAGCTAAGTCCTAGGTATTAGCAAAAAGCCAGCTAAGGAGTAATTCCAACAAAAAAGAAAGAAATTAAAACATAACATACTGCAAATTATATGCAAGGAAAGTGGAATTTTCATAAAATTTACAAATATATCCCTAATTTTATGTGAATTTTTTTAAGTGTCCACACAAGTAGTCACAATAAGCAACAGAAGAACTTGAGGAAAAACTTTTAGAAAAAAAAAATAGAAAAGATGTACATGTACATACTCTGATTTGTGTATACTGTGTGACTGCAAACTTCTATTAATTCATGATTTCATCTATGTTTCTTTCATACAATGAAATGTGCTTTCAATGGACTTTGTGCACAAATGAATGTTTTAGAATGTGGTGAACCTAACTAACTGTAATAAATTGTCTATTTTGCACCTGTACATGTAACCTAGAATCCTTATATCAAATTTATGTGAACGCAGTCAGACTACAAAGCATGCTTTTTAATCTTAAGATTCCGACATAGGTACATAGGAAGCAACATACCTGAAGAGACATCACTGAGCTTTGCAAAAATTTCTTCTAAGTTTGAATCCACACTCTTATAGTATACTAGCTTCTCAATATTTTCTTAATACAAAACATAATTAGATTTTCACTGGGAATCTTTAGGAAATTCTAAATTATTGATAGACAGATAATAACAGTTATTACTGTTAGAATGATGCAAGAATACAAGCAATTTCTTTTCATAAAACCTTTAAACTGCAAAGCATGTACATTAACTCTTGAAGAATGGACAACAGCCAAATTTGTGGACAGAGATTGAAACTTACTATGGGATATCACGATGTATAATAACTTAGCTATTTTGGTACAAGATCTAGCTACATTGTAAAACAAGAGAGATTTTTCAAGCACTGTTTCTTGGAGATATCGGTTTTTGTTAAAAGTATTTTTTGGTCTGGTACTAGTCATTCGCGTGCCGTGATTGGCTAGCGTGCAGTCTGGCATTTCACAATCTGACCGGTCCACGGTATCCTGCAGCTGAAAGTTGCAGAAAATACAAATAAAAAGAATAAAATTGTTATTTACTCTATATAGGTTGGTCTGTATAGAAAAACACTGCCCTCGGTCTCCTATGTACAGACCTCACTGCACTCGGTCAGTGTTTACAGACCTCCGAGCTGGTAAATAACATATCTATGGAATGAAATCTAGGTGAATAAGACTGATTTGTGGGGAAAATACGAAATTTCTAAGGTTTCCAATTAATATTATTTTTTTACCATTTCAGGACAATGCAATATAATAAGTCACATAATACTTGGAATAAAAAATTTCAAGTTTTGAAAAGAAGCCAAAAAACGAAATTAGCTAGTCAATAAAATGACAACAAACTCTTGAAATTTACTAACAAAAACATTTGCTGATTTCACAGGATGAATCCAATCGAGACCATCTCGGTGATCCACCAAAAGTTTCACATTTCTAAAAAAATTCTTTCATTCTTTACAATGAAACAATTTTTAAAGTAAATGGTAAGAAATATGAAATATTTTGGTCAAATCGGAGATCGTTTAGAACATCTGCGATGGTATTTCATGCTGGTTCGCGGTTCCAGAATTGACCTCATATTCCTTGGAGGCAGTCAACCTTTTTAACAAATTCGGTAGACTCAACTTTGTCCTAAACTCAAAATGGCGTGAAAAAGCGTAGCACGAAAGTTAAAAAATTCTCACCTGAGCCTCGCCTAAACCTAACTCCAACTTCTCAAGCGATTCCTGGACCAGTCCTGCTTTCGCCTCTTCGATCTCCGAGGTTTTGTTGTCTTGCAAACTCGACAACGTCGACAAGAGCGAAGAATGTTCACTTTTTAGCGTTTCTAGACCACGTACGACATTTTTTGTATTGTTTATGATTTCATCTTGAGTCCATTTGCGGTTTTCATCGAGTTGTGCCATAATGTCTGTTGAAGTATTTGACGATTCTGTAGCTACAATCTACTTTGATAGACCAAGATGGCTGCCAAGCACCAGCAACCCAAAGATAGTCGTTTGTAAATTACAGTCTGTTCGACTGCTAAATATACCAAAACCTTCACTTCTTTTTAAAGGAAACAGCCATATATCTTTCCTTTGCTGTGTAGTAGGCCTATACGGCCATCGTAAGCTTTAAAAATGCAAATATTCGGAGCGTCTTTTTTACAACACCACAACGGGACGAACAAGGAGGACCGACCTGCCAAACCTTCTTGGCTTGCCACGTTTTGGAATCTTAGGGGGAGGGGAGTRAAGAGATTTATGAACATTGTTTTAAAAATCTCTCTCATTACTGTCTAAACCCTTCAAACTCATGTTTTCATATTTGATAGTATTATGAATTTATGATGTATGGTTTAGTTTAGGATGAGATAATTTTATTTTTTGTTGAATGAAGTAAAATGTTTTTAGAAAATTGAGGCACCCCTCCCTAATATAATTTGACAGTTAAAAATTAATTTGCATAAATTAAGTCTACAAGATTGCATAGATTATACAATAAAGAAGCCATGATACCACAACACTCTTATCAAGTACATTTTGGTAGCTTTGATTGGGGTATTAAGTTGATTTCTTTAAAGAGCAATTTAACCTGTTTGAACACTGGACTTCCTGTACTCTAGGTTCAGCGAACACAGGAAGCTAGCATTATTGAGCTGAGAGTAGGAGATTCTTGTTAACTGACTTGCAGAAAAATAAGGGAAAAGGAAAAACAATTAACAAGTTATATCGTAAAAATAGCATTTATTATGAATAATTTGCTATTGAAGATTACAAAGAAAACACGCAATGGAAATCACCTCATTGAAGAAGTTCATTGCTGATACTTATTTTATTGATATATGCCTTGATAGTAGAGTGGTTTTAATCTCCCCCTTGAATAGGAAAAGCTTTTAAAATTTAGTTATTTATCTATGTGACATCACTTAAATAATAAAAGCCTGCCAAACTGTCCTGTTGTTCAGGGTAGACAAAAAACTGCAGTCGATGTCCAACGTCTTTTATTGATTGCAATATTGTAATGCTTTGCCTTTAGCACAAAAAAAACTTCTAACCTGTCATATTTGAGGAATTAACCATGACATGGAGCAAAACATAGACTTTTAGAGACAGGAAACTTAATTTTAGACAATCTCAGTGAGCTTGGTATAGTGAAGAACCCCCTGAAATTCAAAGCAAGGTTCAGATATATTTATATTACCTAAAAAAGTTAACAATTTGTCTAATTTAGCTGATGTCACCTATTCAACAGTTAAACTAAAAGCACTCTAATGACCTACAATTACATAAATGTATGATGGCGATACAATAAAATTATGCAGACCTGTTTGTACAATATTTGAGACTGACCCAAACTCATATTGAATGCAAATTGATAATGGTCAAAGACACTGAATAGAGATGATCCCAATAATGTTTTGCAAGCAACTGGCACAGATTTTGTATGACTTGCAACAGATCAGATTGGCAACGCACAGCATGGTTGGACAACCTTGCATGGCATGGATGCCATAGTAAAACAATGAGATAAGATCACGTCTCTACATACAGTGCAGTATGATATACAGCATGACCACAGAACAACATCAGCTTATACTCAAATTAACTTTTATCCAGACCAACAAACACCTTTGTTAATTCTATCCTTTTCATCAATGAAAATTAAAGTTTCTTAATTATAAATAACTGCGAATTAAGGAATGAGCAAAGATATTTTCTGACTTCAATCAGATTATTATTTTGTTTGTTGCTGTTGTTTATTTGACTGAGTTTGTGTAATTTTGAAAATTCAATGAAGTATCTTTTGAGCAGTAAATGAAGTAATATTGGAAACCACTAATACCACATATTTAACTTTCACTCATTGTTTGCTTACTTTCTTGAAGTTATGACCACTCCTAAACTATATTAAAATGTAAAATGTAATTTCAAATCACATCTACCATAAATGTATAATTGTTTATTTACTAGATAAAATCTTAGCACAATAATAGACCCCCAAAAAGGTAATTAAAAAAAAAACAGCCACAACAACACCTTTGGAAACTGTAGACATTACCCTTGCCAAGAAACTTTGATTTAAAGATAATTACTGCAAGTTTTCAAAAAAAAATACACTATTCTGTTGCAAGCCAACTTAATTCTCTTTTTAAGTTATGTCAAAATGAAAATAGCTTTGATGCAATATCAAATGGCTGCTTATGAGAGTTAAATGATAACTAAATGTAAATAAAGTAATAATTATCTTAGTATTTAAGTAGAAAGAGGTTGTTTTGGTTTTAAGTTACATATTAGATTACAAAAATAGACTAAAAACTGTACTAGCTCAACCCACACTAAGATAAAGCTGCACTCCAATTTCTATCATCATCCTTCTTGCGTCTTTTTCGGACATAAAAAAGATCATCATCCTCAGCTCCACCACCTTCTTCCTTTATTTGGTCGTCATAATCATATAGATAGACATCAGCTTTTAAYGATGACCTGCGACGGCTTTTTGGAACACTAACTTGAGACTGGGCTGTGAGCTGYAGTTTAATGGCGCTTGTATTAAGCTTGCCACCTGTCGTTATTAATTTGCGTAAGTCTTTCATTTTGGCACTGTTTAGCACAAGAGAGACTTCTGGTTTGTTAGGCTTCTCTTTCTCATCACTTGGAACTGCATCATTACTCTTTTCACCTTCTTTATCTGGTGAGAACGTTGATCGACACTCAGAGGTAAATTTATTGAGAGACTGCACAAGCTTCTTGGCCCAATCAGCATGGAGAACAGGGGTGAGACTGTCTTCCTCCCAGAGACAGATTCCATCATAAAACTGAAGCATGTAGGAGAAAAACTCAGGATCTTTTGTAAATGGAACAGCATCTGATTCAGTGGCTCCAACTTTCAGAATGTTGGGAATGAAGTCATTGGCAATCTCATAAAATTCTTTGTACATTTCTTCATCTTCTTTAGAATAATTGTACCTATGAATTGATAATTATTATTAGAATAAACATACTTATGGTCACTCATACTGCGCTGTGATTGGCTACTCTACTAATGGTCTAATTTGTGATAGACCACTCGCGGGAAAATCAAAATGGCRGCATCTCATTAATMAATTATTTTAAGGATATTTAAATTTGTTTTCATTATTTGACCGATTAGTATGTTTATACTAAAACAATTAGACCTCTCGGCCTCGTGGACTACGAGCTAATAGCCCATTCGGCATCGCGGACTCGGCCTCATGGGCTATTAGCTCGTAGTCCACTCGATCTTGAGGTCTAATTGTTAAATAGTACCTTATGGATTAAAACTTAGAAATCTAAAGTTCAAAGCCAACAGGCTGATGTGATTGATAACTAAAAAACAACTTACTTTCCAGCAACATGAGCAGCCTCAACCCARTACTTAATTGCATCGATGTATTGTTTCTTGCGATTATAGTAACCACCAAGGTAGGTATATGGGTAGATGTGTTGATTGTTATACACTTCTTTTGCTACTGCAATAGCTTCCTCRAAGATYTGTTTGCARGGAGGTCTTCCAGGTGTTGGTGATATTTCTTCTTGGTCAGCAAGATTGCCTAGAGCCATAGGATATCTAAAAAAAAATGTAAAATGTAAGTCTAGCAATTCACTGTGACTCCATATATCTTAGATATCCATAACATTAGCGTTTATAACAGGATTAGGAATCATAAATTGAATAATGTTGGCACTTGTAAACAAAGGTTGGGCATTTTGATATATTGCCTTTGAAAGTCCTGAAAAACTACCACTTTCTAAAGTTTCTCAACAATATAATAGTAGAACCAACTCTCAATATTATTGTCTATGAACAATAATTACATGTGCTATTTATCTTCTCTCCATACTAGATGATAATTATGAACTGATATATAAAATCTTCATCAATGTTAACACTGGACGGGTATCAATAGTCTATAAAGGTACAACTAACCTTTTGAGATGCCCTGTATCATATAAAATCCACAAAAGCTCCTGAAAGTAAATAATCATTATTAATCAATAACCTTAAGTTTTATTATTTTTAGTTTAAATTTAGTTTAAATTGCTTGTTTTTTTTGTTTTTTGTTTTGTTTTTGAATTTAATTTATGTTATATTCATATTCACCTTACTATTGACACTGCTTTCTTTACAGTTAACATATTATTCATATTAACAATAGTGTTTACACATATTTATAAAAGCACTTAATTCTACCATCATCAATATTACAGAAATATTTCAAGAGATTTGACAAGATGAGTCTTTAAGTGTGTCTAGGCAAGGCTAGTAAAAGATTAACATACCTTTTGTAGATTTGCTAGTTCAACACTGTCCTTGTTATGGCTAATGCCAACATTAATAGATGACACTATTGACGCTACCTCCATGTGTCGTGTGCAACGGACAGCAAAACCACTCAAGTATAACCAGCTTTTAGCAGTTTCACCTTCAAATTCAACAGGCCTGCCTCTTTTGTCTTCATTGCCTTTTCCATGCCATGTTACCTCAGCAGTTTCTGATCCATTGAATCCAAAACAAACCCAGGCATGGTCTTCTGATAGGCAAAGATGTACATCATTATAACCAAGTGCTTGGCACATTGCAACAACAGTTAAAGCTACTCCAAAGCAGTCTAGACGGTTCCCTGCAATAAAAATGCAATTTCCTTAAAAATTATTTTTGACATAATGATAATATCACTAGAAATATATAGAAAGGCATTGCTGAGATTCTCCAGCAAGGTGAACAGAACATTTCAAGAATTTATTTTCCATGGGTTCCATTTTCCATGAGTAAAATCAATTTTCTCTTCAAAATGAGTATCCTTGGCTTGAGGCATGCCAGAAAGTTATACAAAGCAAAATCCTTTTAATAGAACAATTTGACAAATTGATTTGTTTGCATTTAAGGGTGAGCAACACACACACAATAAATGTAAGTTTTTTTTTTGTTTCAACTGTTGAATGCCTGCAGCCATGATTGCCACTAATGGAGAATTTTGTCTTGAGACTGAGTCATAAGCAGCATTCAATGTAATAACCAGCAGTTACAACATATTTTATTGCTTGTTACATTAGTTTTAAACAGATACATATAGCTGTACATACTGTACTTTTTATACACGCCTAATTAAAAACCCACGTATTATAGTGGATTAATAAAGTTAATAATAAAGYGATGACAATCCAATTTGGGTTAACATCACACCTTTGGAAACTGTTTTGAAATCCAGAGTAAAACAATAAGGAGTCAGAAATGTGTTTGAAAATGAGGCAGTTTTGAAAAAAAAAAACAAGTGCTGCAGAAACCTTTCCACTACAACGAAAGTTCATTTTTTGCCCTCGATCAAAACAATATGCTAACATTATTGCTGAAGAGCTTTCATTATTCCATTTAAAAAGGATGCATCAAAAGAAAATAAACTCACCAGTTAGAAAGCTGTACAGGTTTTGAATGTGGGGTCTGTCTTTGAAGTACGACTTGGCCAGACAACCCCACACCAAATCAGCCACACTTTTCACAAATTCCCTAGTTGCAGGTTTATTTTCCGCGTTAAAAGAGAAATCTCGTTGAAGAAGCGCCATGAATTTGCAATAGAGGGCATCATATGTTTCCTCATCTAAATTCGGACAGCTCGAGGTAGCAGGGTCACTGATGCCTGCTTTGCAGGTATTTGCTTCTTCAAAGAACCCCAAAATCAGAGATAACTGAGCAAGATTGGGTTGGTCCTTTTTGAGCTCTTCTTTAAAAAAGTTCATGACAGATTCATTGTCCTTGAGAGGAAAAAAGTTCTTCCTAGCATCCATAGTTTCTTCTGGTGATTTGTGTTTGCAAACACACGTTGATCGTTGATGTTGGTACGGCTTTGTCGTTTCCACTTCTAACTCTCTACAAATGTCCCAGTTTTTTCCATAACTTCCGGGCAATGCTTGTAAAGTTTTAGTCCAATCAAGACGTTTATAAAGTTTGTGCACTAAAATAACTTCAGTGTTGAGAGATAATTTGTAAAATCTTGATGAGTAAAGAAGAATTGAGCTTTTTTGTTCCACAACGTACTCACATTGATAAACAAATCGCCTCGATCCCGAAACACCTTTCACGATCACACTCCCCGCTAATAGTCGGAGATTACTCGGCGTGCATTCGGCAAAGATTCGGAGCTCGTTTTTTCCCATTTTCCAATATTTTTCTAGYTTTTTTTAAGTTTCTGTGATGCTATTTATTAAAATTGATAATTGAAAAAACTCTAACGAAGGAAAAAGTGATAAGATTCTAAATTGGCAACAAACGTTCCAAAGGGCATGATAAAGCTTCATCTTTGTTTTTGAGGCTCATTTTGTCATCTACATTTCAAAAGATTTCTCGCTCCAATTTTTTAAAAATAATAAGATTATTTCAAAACTACATTTATGAATTACACTGACATTTCTGCTTCGGGATATCACCGGAACTTTTCGTAGRAATTTCGTTTCTTCGGATGACATGCGTACTTTGTATTCGTGACGTCGGAATGAATATCACGTGGCGTAATCGACTCACGAGCAGAACAGAGAAGGTAGCCATCTTGAAGGTAGGTATAAGAAATTGGGAAAAAGTTCTTGGGTTTTCACGATGATTTCATAACTGAATGACTTCAGTAGGAATAATATATGTTTCTTCACTTCTTGACATAATATTTTTTCTTCTGGATTCTTTATTTAGGGTATTTTTATATCTTTTCCATCCAAGCAAGTTTCTGAAGGTCATTTCGTCATCTCAGGACGATTTTATGAAGTTGTCTAATTGTACAGGTACTTATTTCTAATCGTAGATAATCTGTCTAATATCATTTTACTATATTTTCAGGTTACAAGCATCCTAATTTTCTTAAAACATTTTTATCGAATTTTCCATGATAAGCGAATTTTTTCCAAGTACCACATTCATTCGTTCTAAATCTAAGACTTGTATTTTGTTGCACATTTCAAATTAAAAAAAAAGAAAATATCCCTGAAAATACATTATGTTAYTTCCCCAAATTCTAGTTCGTTGTTATTTTTTCCCCAGTAAAATATGTAAGGGCCGCTTAAACGATGGAAAAAAATCACCATGAAATCGATAAAATGCGAGAAAATAATCGATTTCTGTTTGGAATAAGCTTAAGTTAATTTTCATCTGTCGAGTTCTTTTGTTTCAAAAGTCTCCAAAGATATGATAAACTCATACATTCGAAGAGAAGTTAAACGGATAATTTTTCATTTTTTAGATGTCTGATTTATTCCATTYGGTCGAATTCATTCATGCGACATAGCAATTTTCTTGTTACTTTAACGAGGTGTCCATGAAATATTTTGAAMAATTTYTACYATTGCTTTTTTAAAAATTTATTGTTTTTGGTTTCCTTTGGAAAGAATACATTCTGTCTCAACCAAAAGAGATCCCAGACAACCATCTATATTTGAATGGAAAATCACAAACAGTATCCATTTCAACTTGAGGGTCTTTCTCTTWACATGCTGATATAAGATCTAAAAGGTGCTACGTTTTATCCTCTGAAATGAATGTTTTATTATCTTAAGCCCGATGAACACCTCTAATGGTTGTCTTGAAAAATTAAACAGAAACTATTTTGAGGATTTCTGAGTTATTGTTTTACTTTTACACAAACATTTTGACTGTTATGCTCAGTGTGTTGCTTTCAGTGTCTAAAGATTGTGTAAAGAATAGACTGAGTGGTTCCTGGTTTAATTGGTCAGAATTTCGCTTGAATTTGATTTCTCTTATCCTTGTCTTGATATTTTGCCAAAGAAGAAAGTCTCCTTTGAATGTATGGAATGCTGTGTGTAGAGTTATACAAGACTTAGACAGTAAAATTTGAACTATTAAAAGGAAAGCCCAATGTATTACTTTGCTCCTAATTAGAGGGTGTTCTCTTAATGGGGATTATTTCCTATACTGGGTGATAATTTTAAGTTGTTTACTTGAAACCCTTTGCCAAATAGTGTGGTCAATATTTTGAAATTGGTTAAACCACAACCACTTTCACTTGAAAATGTTTTCTCTTTCTTCTAAAAGACCAAAAAATGTCATTTTCCAAGATTTCTACCTTTTTTGGCAATTTGTTCTACGATATTCATATGACTGAGGCAATTTTGAGTTGTAAGTGATATTTGTTAACAAATTATATCAGTCACTTTAACTTCCAGTGTTTCTCTAGTACTCTAATATTTTTATAAACAAGAAAATATTTGGTGGATAATTTCATTTTTCCAAAGAACTAGAGCTTTGAAAAATGCTCAAAAAAGTGAAMTGAAAAACTACTTCATTTGTTKCACACAACWACAAATTCAATATTTARCAAATCATGCACTGTTTTGAGTTGTATGTCCTCTTATTGACCCTCTCTTGGCGTCATAAAAGTTTTCAAATCTCAAGTGGACCCACAAGACCAGCAAGTGTTCATTCCAATACAAAGTTTTGAACATTTAATGACGTCAAGGGTGTATGAATARCAGGACATACATTAAAAACACTGAGCAATTTGTTTTTATACCACATTTTTAGTCTAAAAAAGTAGCTAAGATCAATATTTTCCTTCATATGAGTGCAAAGAGATGTGAGGTGTACATGTAAGCACATTTTTATGTCTTCTCAAGTTTGTATGTCCTCATCTGCTGTAATAGTTTGTCTAGGTGTTGTTTGAAGATAGTTRTCAAGCCATTAATGACAAGTTACCATTATAGATTTTTGGGCTGTTTATACTCTTTCGCATTTTTCAAGGAGATTCCCTGCAACAATGTACAGCCATGATTTATGTATTTTTTTTCCTATTTAGGTTGTAATCCACCGAGCAGAGTCAAGATTCCGCTTTCAATACAACATACGAGGAGGCAGAAAAGCCTAACATTACAAATAAAAAGGACTAGAAATAAAGCGTTTATGACTTATACAAGGAACCAGCTTGAAAGTCTAATTTGTAATCATTATAAGCACTTGGCTAAAAGTAGACTTAAAAGAAAATACAATACGTCATCATGGCACTTGTTAATGTCAACCGCAAGAATACAGACCAGTTTTATCGGTACAAGATGCCTAAACTCATAGCTAAGGTACCATGATTTTGGAATTTGTTGTGGGTTTTTATTCTCAGTATTAATCAAAATGCTATTTTCTTTTGTGGAGGTTGTTTTGTCTTAGTAGTATGACTATCTTGTGCAAATCTGAATTGACTTCATTCACCAAATGTTTATTTGCTGTCTGCTTAGAAGACGAGACACCTTTTAATCAGTAAATCTAATTAGCTTTTGAAAGTTTTTGGTTTGTTTAAATTGTAATCATGAATCTGTGAAGTAGAGCGAAGTCATTTAACTCGTGAAAAAAGTGTGATAGTGAATTAATTAGACACAAAAGAAARCAATGCAATTAGAGCATACCATGGTGTATTTGTATTAGTGTAATATCTATTTCACTGTTTGTTTGTTTGTTGTTGTTTTTTTTTGCTTTACTCTTACCCTTTGTGAATTGTATTTAAATAGGTTGAAGGGAAGGGCAATGGTATTAAGACTGTCATTGTTAATATGTCTGATGTTGCAAAGGCTCTCTCAAGACCACCATCTTGTAAGCATGATGAGTACAATATTTTTTTGTCAATAATTTGGAAAACAAATTGTAATGCATACACTGAAAAAGACATGCACAGCAATAAAGTGCCTTCCACAGGCTTATGAAAACCAAATTTAACTTCATTGATTCGCAATAATTTAATTTTATTAATAAGATAATAGCAATGTTCTTAGAGGTGTATTTACATAGATCGGTGCATTTTATCCAGTTCATTACCAATCAGATAAATACAATCTATTGTCTTTTAACAGTATTCTTATAAATATAATTTCATTGTAGATCCAACCAAGTATTTCGGTTGTGAATTGGGTGCACAAACYCAAATTGATTCAAAGAATGAAAGGTACATTGTGAATGGTGCCCACCAGGGAGAAAAACTCCAGGAAATATTGGATGGATTTATTGAAAAGTTTGTGCTTTGCTCTAACTGTGAGAACCCAGAAACTGTCTTGGTAAGATTCATGAATTATTCATTGATTTATTAGTTCATTCAGCCATTTTTTTTGTTCATTTATGCATCTGTTCATTAATTTTTCTTTGTGTGTGTGTGTGTGTGTGTGGATCCATATGCAGTTGTTACCTTTCATACTCGTTCAATTCATCCCACTATCCAAATTCATCTATGCTTTCTTTCATCTATTTATCTATTCATTCATTTATTGATGGCATATTATACTTTTTCAATTTTTAGAAAGTCGACAAGAAAGAGAGGATTGGTCAAAGCTGCAGGGCATGTGGCCATCAAGGTTTTATCAACCTCCAACACAGGCTGATCACATACATCTGTAAGAATCCTCCGTCTGGTGATGCAACTGCAACTCCCTCCAAAAAGTGAGTTTGCTATAAAGATAATTAATACCCAATTTTAATCTTTATGCTAAAATTTTAATCGTTATGCTTTATTCAAGTCTTCAAGTAATGCTTTGCTGTGTATTCCTATTTCATTACCAAACATTAATGTTCATTGATTTATTCAGAGACAAAAAAGATCGCAAGAACAAGAAGCATCAAAATGGAGACACCAGCCCAAATCACTCTCCCCAGGAAAATGGTGAAGTTGACAAGTTTGACATGCCCAATGTGAACAATGTGAGTTATTTGTGACAGTGATGGTAATGTGAAGTTGTACTTTAATAATTAATATTCCTTTCTCTTTAGTCCAACAGCCACGATGATGATGAGTGGTCAGTTGACACCAGYGACGCAGCTGTCCATCAAAGAATGAAGGATCTCTCATCTGGAGTCAAGGGTTTGACCTTCACTGATGACTTAGAGAGGCCTGAGGAACAGCGCTTCAATATGTTCTACCAGTATGTTAAGGTGGGGGCAATAACTCAGTCAACTTCATCTTGAGCAGCATTTGCAAATCAGGACAAATCTCTTACTCATAAAATTATGTGTTTCCTAATGAATTATTAATGATGGTATTCATTTTTCATTTTTTATTTTTCTCATTAGAAAGCAAAGCAAGAGAATTCTGTTGACAATTCTGGCAAGGACTTTGTTGCTGAGGCTGAACGTCTTGATGTAAAAGACAAGGCTGTCTTAGCTATGGCAGAGCTTCTCTTTGATTGCAAAATGCTGCAGCAAATTCCCAAGTACCGTCTACATTTCTTGAGGGTAAGTATTTTGAATATTTTTTTCCTAGTCAACATTGTTTGGTTGGTGGTTCTTAAGAGGAATTGTTGATGGAGGAAATGATGTTGAGAAAACAGGATACAGGAGGCTTTATGGAGGGGAAATTCTCAGACAAACAAAGCACATGTAAATRAATAAATAAATTGTGCACTTATTTTTGTTACAGTTTGTGAATGATAACCCAAAAGCTCAGAAGTACCTTCTTGGGGCCTTTGAGATGCTTGTTGGCAAGTCATATCCAGAGGAAYTGATGCCCAAATCAGCACACATACTGAAAGCATTCTACGACAATGACATCCTGGATGAAGAAGTTCTTATTAACTGGTCTGAAAAGGTGAGTTTGATTCTCAAACATTATSRAGTGTTTTGTCAGTGATWCTGGGCACTCRGAAGCTAAAATTCAAGTAAAGCCAAGTCCATGCCCTCCATTTTGTCAAGAAAATATCAACCATTGAATGCATATTTCTAATGATGAYATTCTGRTCTTACCAGGTATCAAAGAAGTACGTCACCAAAGAAGTGTCTACTCAAATCCATGATAAAGTGAAACCTTTCATTGATTGGCTTAAACAGGCTGAAGAAGAAGAATCCAGTGGTGAAGAAGAGGACGATGAGGATGACTTGGTGTATGACAACAAAGCTGAACAACTAAAGGTTGTTGCAGTTGAGGACAAGAAAAAACAGGAGGAAGAAGATGACGAAATCAAYATTGATGACATCTAAGCTATTAACTCTAAACTCAAACTCTGAAAATATATATTTGTGGCATAGATTAGGGAGATTATAATGGTTTCCATACACCAAGATATAATGTACGTGTAGTAAGATTAGGTTAAGATAAGTTTAAATGATTATTTAAGATAACTTGAATTAGGAAAATACTTTCAATTAATCATTCTTTGAATGAAACAAATTAATATGTATCATGATTTTGCATGCATTCTGCACTAAGCTTTATTTGTAAGCTGTAGTCATTGTAGTTTTGTGTTAAGTAAGGGTTGTCGTTGATGCCCTTTTGAATAATATTGTATGCCACTAAAGAATAAAACAATACATTCAGCATTAAAATGTGTCATTTAATAAAATAATAGTCAAATTTTATAGTTTCACAGGTTTAGAGAAAAGTCATTAAGCCCGTGAAATAAAATCTGATTATTTAAGTGAGATATTCAAATAGACACAAAAGAAAACAATGCAATTAGAGCAATAAGGTGTATTGGAGTATTATCTACTTCATGGGTTTTTTGGCTACTACGTCATAATCAAAGGATGCAACTCATGCGAGGAATCGAGGTATATAAAATACAAGAGAAATGGAACTTTGCGCCATGAAAAAATGACAAAAAATAAAAGATGAATTTCTTGACAGTAATTGTATGATTCCATGCGCTATCAATAACGTATTTCTGTCRTGACTAGGGAAAATGTGTTTGAAGAACTCTGGGATCGAGTAGGCGCTGTATTGCGCAATATTACGCAAGATACTCGTTCCAGTCTCCCTTTCTTTCTCTTCACGTTTTATTCAAGATGGCGAACTCAAACGAAGGGAACCAAGCAGAGTCCGAAGCTTCTCGCTCAACTGTCGCTTCAACGGAGAATAATTCAACTGATCAACAACCACAACAGCAACAGGAATCTCCATGGAARGGAATTCTATTTCGGATWTTTATTTTTTGGTTTATATCGAATTTGTTTCGAGGAAGGCAACAGCCGAGTTCACAGCAAGGTCCCTCGTTTAAGCCAGCCACTAACCTGTTTAAACCTCGGGATTATATGGTAAGTAGTGTGTTATGTAGTACAGCAATAAATGATTACTTCAAATTGTTTTTTAGGCTTCTTTTCGATGATTTTTACCTTTTTATGTTCGAATTGTTCGTATGCAAATTATGCACGTGATCTAAAGCGCCGTTTAAGCTTACTGTTCATTCTGTAGTTAGACTCGATTCCTTAATGTATCTGTTTATAGAAATCTTCCTGTTGTTAACTATRATTTCGTTAGTTGTATATTTATAGATATATAATAACGATTTAATAAAGTTTTGTAAGAACTATGAAAAGAGATATATTATATTCGATAAAAAAATCCCTTCGTCATTGTCTGTTGGGTTGTACGTCATTCATTTCGACATATACACGTGAGGCACACGTACGTATTGGGTGATGGATACGTAAACGTAATGGCTTTACGTAACTATGATCGCGAAATTTGCTGCATCCTTGTTTCCCCACAATTCYTTCAAATGCTTAGAATACCCCTGTTTTCATTGTTCTTCCAATGTCCCTTCCTTTCCTTTATTTTCTCCTATCCTTTTTTTACTATTCCAAAACTGGAAACAATTTTCTTAATTACACGTACTATGAAAATGTGAATAAATAATTCAACACATGCTCTAAGCATTGAGCATTGAGTTTGTTGATTTGATTTAAAAAATAATTTTCATTTCATAGCATGCAAGGATAAAATATGGTCCAGTTTTGGATTATTTCCCTACTGGTTTGTTCTGGACCTACTGGTTTATAAACAAATTCAATAGTTCTGTTTGTGTTCATTGTAGGACCTCTATGTTTATGTGTCTGAAGATGATTTCATGAAACCAGCAGAYTTCGATGACCCCAGTTTGTTAGTCTGGACTCAAAAAGGTCTTCAATTTGGAAACTGGTCAACTGGTGAAAATGGTGATGGTAGCTTTACCTTCAGTACAAAATTGACAGCATCTGAGGTRCTGAATTTTCTTTGAAATTTTATCATTATTGAATCACACATTTCATTTTGCCTGACAGTGATGTACGTACAATATTTATAGTATTTCTGCAATTTCATTCTAAACTTTCAATAGAAAATCTAAAAAAGCTATTAAAATAAATAATGATATTTACTAAATTTGATTTGCAGCAATTAATGAACAATGGATCATTATATGCACATGTGTTTATCACAAGACARCATAAGTCACCCAATCCGAAATCTCCGCACTATAAAAGACTAGAAGTTGTAAATAGAACCAAGCGTAAGTACTGCAATAAACTCAACTTGACTCCTGTCTTTTTTTCGTATATGTAATTCAGCAAGGCAAAGACCAGTGAATAAATAATAATATCCTGCTTTATTTTTAGAATTGACTGCTTTCAAGAAAAGAAGAATTAGTAAAACTGTGAATCTATTGTCCGGCAAGATTGATCCTGAGGCAATAAAGGTAAACACAATTATTTAGTATTCTGCTGCAGAGGTAATGGCTTTTGCAACAAGGATATGTCAGGCTGAGTTCTAAGAACCATCATTCACCATAAGCAATGCATTGTAAGATATGTTTGGGACAGAACATGGCAGATTTTTTTTCGTATTCTCTGGAAACTGATCCCACAATGCAATGCAAATAAGTAGTAGCCTATTATGGTCTGAACTGCAGGGAATAGGTGATGCATGTGATATGATTGCAGCAGCAAATTGCTAGTATAAACAATCAATGTGATTGTTTATAAATGGTCCCCCGTAAAAAATTCTGGCTTCAACAGGAAACCAACACATGACCACTGCAATGCCATTTCAATAGGTGAATCAGTASATCTTATAAGGAAAGAAATAGCAAAGGGAATACTTAGGGTTCAGCTTTTTAGGGTTCCTTGATGTGCCTGGTTACTTTAGGCTTTACAATGCTTGATGCTGGTCAAGGCATTAATGATTTTCYATTGTTGCAATAATAACTCTTAAGATGATCACCTCATTGTTACTGTTAAGGCTGCTGAAATCAAATCACAAGAAATCATAAATTACTGGCATCCGAATCTTACAATCAACGTGATGGATGACCAAACTCCATGGACCCCTGGTGCAGTTCCACCACCTATGGATGAATGTAAGTACACATTAATGCACAACTATTAAATAAAATATATGAGCAGCCAATATCTCTCTAAAATATGATTATGATCGGATTATGATAAGTTATTATAATCACCACTAATGAAAATCATACATTATATGAACTTATTGTAGTTGGTTGAGAACTGTGCAACACTTGCAAAAATTGAGTCGATTTGTGCAATATTCACTGAAAATAATGTTCTTTGTTTCTAYRATTTAGTTATAATTTTTGACAACATCACCAATTCCTACTTCCCCTTGCTGTACTTGAACAGCTACTGGAACCTACAAAGTGACTACATGCCTATTAATGAGACAACTCCGTAAGTAATAATAATTTAGTGTCATAATGTCGATTGATTGATGGACCTATACTGACTACTTGGGCATGGATTTTCATAGAGCAAACACAGGAAAACCATGAAATAAAACCAAACTTAATACTAACAAATAGCAGCTATTCAGAGACAGTTTGTCAGTATCAATGATTCAGAACGCAATCAAGATGAATCCACATACATGTATGAGACCATCTTTAATTCATTTTCATTGCGTTCTGGCTCATTGATACTGACAATTTGCCTCTAAATAGCTACTATTTGTTAGTATTTAGTTTGGTTATATTTCATGGTTTTCCTGCGTTCRCTCTATCAGTAATGTTTTGATTGATTGGTTATTTTGAACTGTTTAAATCAACAGAGAGCTTGACTTGCATCTAACTTACTCTCCAATATCATTGTTCAAATGGCAAATGTATGAGTCGCAGAGGGTACGTCARAAGTGGTTCTCAGTGCTTGGTGATGACATGCAACAAACTGATGAGGAACAAGACACTCTCAAGGTACTTAAAGGACAATAAAACACTGTATCAGCTTTCCAATTTGCATCTACTGAGGCTTAAGATTTTTCCATTTTTTTTATAATATGTTTGTTATTTTTTCAGAGGACCATGGTTGAAACAAACCCCTACCTGCTGGGAATAACTATAGTTGTCTCTTTGATTCATACTGTATTTGAATTCCTTGCTTTTAAAAATGGTAAGTAATACTCTAGGTAAACCGTTTACTTCCAAACTACATTATCTCTGATTTTTAAGCTTTTTGTACATTGTATATATGTGTATYYKKTKKTWWGSCMRSMAAAAWTWAWWRSCYTWTTTTGCTGTGTATTCGTAGATATTCAGTTTTGGAGAAGCCGTAAGACTCTTGAGGGTCTGTCAGTTAGATCAGTGTTCTTCAACGTTTTCCAGTCAGTTGTGGTACTCTTGTATGTCTTTGACAATGACACCAACACCATGGTCATCATAAGCTGTTTTATTGGACTCTTGATTGAAATATGGAAGATAAACAAAGTTGTTGATGTCAAGGTGAGAGATATATCCCTCATGATATTTCCCTTTGTCGTGTGTTATATCAGGGGCAAGATGGCAGTGTCAAATTTACTTTTTGAGCTGTGTCTTGAAGTGTCAGTGTTGTAAGTTCAAAGCTTATTTAGAGCCCAATTCTTTAATRCAGTTTGAAAGAGAAAACCGTGTGCTGGGAATCCTTCCACGTATAAAGTTTACAGACAAGGAGAGTTATATACAGTCATCAACAAGGATATACGATGAGGTGAACAAATATAAGCTATTTATTTTTGAGTCACAAAGTACTGTATATTATGATTACTGTATGTTTCTTTGATTTATATTCAAACATTCAACTCAACCAATTTACTGAAAAATTGAGCAAAAATGTTTAGTAAACAGACAGAGAAAAATGCACCAAATTTGTAATGAATCATTAATGACCTTACTAATAATATAATTTGTTTGTTGTAGATGGCTTTCAAGTATTTATCTTGGTTATTGTTTCCTCTGCTGTTATGTTATGCTGTATATTCRTTGTTATACCTGGAGCACAAGGGCTGGTATTCATGGGTTCTGAGYATGCTCTATGGCTTCCTCCTTACATTTGGTAAGCATTGATGCACACAGAATACTGTACATTCAAGCAGTTTACCTGTGAGTTAGTTAGTACTCATAACTAAATTAAGTGCATATATTTTGAAATCTTGGAGTGGTTGTCATTAATCCATGAAAAAAAGTGTGATAGGCAAAGGGAAATAATGTGTGGTACACTGAAAAAGCAAAGAAAATATGCCAAACGACAGGGACAGGGGCAGATATAGAAATTCTTTAAGRGGGGTGGGAAAATCTGCCGAAGTTGTTGTGCCATTTTAGCTAATATTAAAAACAGGTACTTCAAGGGAAGGGGGCTTACGTGGAGGGGAAAGGCCTAKGAATAAAAGCAATTTTTAAACTTATCATTCAAAAACAATCTATTTTTTAAATTTTAAGAGTCAACCTGGGTAGTGGAAATCTACCCAATCCACCCCCTGTATCCGCCCCTGAGTGAAGAGTGCTAATGTTCAGTAAGCTAAAGTATATTTCACAGCTGAAAACCACTCCACTGTGTTGAAACACYGCATTCAACTTTTTATTGCTCATTAGTTTATGGCAAGACTTTCTTTGTTTCAGGATTTATCACCATGACACCTCAGTTATTCATCAATTATAAACTCAAGTCAGTAGCACATTTGCCATGGCGCATGATGACTTACAAAGCTCTAAACACCTTCATYGACGACTTGTTTGCTTTTGTGATTAAAATGCCAATGATGTACAGAATTGGGTGCTTTAGAGATGGTAGGTCAAGAGTTTGAATTCATAAACTGTATTGATTTTAAATTAGTGATGTATATGTGTTATAAATATTATTATTAAACATGTATAGAAAAATTTATTATTATAAAGTATGAAAAGATCTTTTTTACATTGGACATTCATGAGTATTTTTGTTTCCACTATTTTTACCACAGATATTGTGTTCTTTATCTTCCTCTATCAACGCTGGATATATAAAATTGATCCCAAGAGAGTGAATGAATTTGGTGTTTCTGGTGAAGACCTTGCCAATGGTGGTCCTGTAGAAGAGACCAAGCAAGATGGTGAAAAAGCAAACACCAGTGAAACGCCACCATCAGACAAAAAGAATGATTAATGATAAATATTATTGATTAAATAGTCTCCTTCATGGTTCCCTGAGCCATCTTGAAAGGTAGCCGTGCCTTTGAATCGAAGCGAGACAACTGTTGAGGGTGCAATGATGGAAACCTTCTTTCACACCTACAGACAATTATTCACAGGTATCTATCATTAGGGAGGCACAGCCACCTTTCAAGATGATGCAGGTATCCAAAAAGGAGACTATTCTTGGGAAAATGTTTAAAAGTAAAGCTTTCTGCTGKCCTGCCTGTGCAATACAGAATAATAGAGTGGTTCCACCATAAAGAATGTGAAAAATGTATGCTGAACTACCTAGCATGCCACAAATTGCTCGAAATCCATTATTTTGCATTTATGTTGGACCATTAAGGGTTTGGCAACCAACATAATAAAAGCAAATTATGATTCATAAAAAAATTAAGCAGTAGGTGGTATTAGGAGAAAAGGTTTAAATTGTGCTTAGGACTAGTTTTATGGGATCAGGGATCAAAGCTTGAAAATGGGATCACAAAGTAGACTGTTTGAGGACTAGAGAGATCAAACATGTTTAGGATGCTAATAATCTGCAATAATCTTCATAAATACGAGCCATATTGTTCATCACATTTTATGCAGAGTGTCTATTTGTTTTAKTTCTTTATTTATTCTTATTATACAGACTGTTCTTAAATAATTGACAATTTATCATAAAATATTCAAGACTAATTTTACAATCTGTTGTGATTGGCTATCAAAGACATGAATGTCTTGCCCTCTGCTCTTAAAAGACAATTGTTTTAATAAAGTGTAATAAAACAACCAGCTTGTCTCCTGTTTCCTCTATAAATACACACACTTTGAGATGGAACACTCAAGAAGCTTAATTAGGTAAACCATGGTGATAATGACACATTTTGCCACAGGTAGCCCAAGGTCTACTGTGAAGGCAAGAAATTGAAAATATTGAGATCTGTATCCTTCAATACTTTCCTTATTTTGTATCTTCATCGTAATGATTTTTGTTGGGGGTGCACCCCCTCCTGAGAGCCCTGCACCCATCCCCAAGGAAAATCCTGGATCTGCCCACGTGTTTTTCTTGTGTTTTATGTTCCTGGTGTTGATTCTTTTAAATATATTAACTTAAATAAGGGTCATAAAAAGGTGAAACCTAGAGAAAAAATCCGCACAAAGAGCATAAAACACAAGAAAAACACGTATGTAAGTTCAAATAATTTAAAAAAATATATTTTCAGTTTTTTTCCTTTACAGTAGAGCTTGAGCTAACTGGGAAAAAATATTTTTTTTAATGAAAATTTGTGAAGGGGTCTATATTTCATAAGCACTTGTTGCTTTTCATAGGCTCCTATTCTTAATCATTACAAATTATTATTCTATAAATTGCAAAGTATACAAGAATGCAATAATGATTATGAATGAAATAAATTGATTTATTGATTGATTGATTAATGTAATTGAATTTCAATATATATTGTACCTCGTGTACTTGGGTTACCTGTGTTAGTCGAAGTTTCCAAAGRGCTGCAAATCATGACGGATCCTC